CCATCTCAACAATTGCATCACCACATGCCGCACTGCAGACTGAACAAGAACGTGTGAATCATTTGCCTCTGGTCATCCTGGTTGACGCTGAAGAAGTGGTCGTCAACAATGCCAAGGTTCCCTGGCATGATGGCTGGGCAAAGAGGAATAAGAAGGCTCTGGTTCATGTGCGATTGCAAAAGCTTGTGGGTTGCGTGAACCTTCTTCCAAGTATATTCGTCACTGCTGTTGAGTAGATATTTTAGTATAACCAACCACTATGCTTGTCATTGAGTAATTGACTGTCTCAGAGAAATTGACTGTCTCAGAGAAAAACGCGACAAAGTAGCGTGAAGTGACACACAGCAGGCACTGTAGATGTTTTAGCGCACTCTCGTTGTTCGGCTCGCGACTAGTCTTTGTACACAGCAAGGATAGCGTTGTGCTTCCGCAGAACGACGTCCACACAGAATATATCAGGAAGAAGTCACGGTATGAGACGCACAGTTGGTTGGGTCTAGCGCGTCCCCCCGAAGCAGATCTGGATGGTGTAGGCATCTGTGAAGTTGCGGCTGTTGTTCCTAACCCAGTCTTCCCATCCACTGGACCACTGGACCACTCGCCAAAACTGCCAGGTTTCTCCATGGGCAACCCAGCATCTGGTTGCTATGGACTGGTTGGTTAAGTCGAGTGAGTTGAGGAGTGAGTTGAGGCAGTGTGTGGGTCTCTGTGTGTGCGTATCTATGTCTGTGTGTGTATGAGTCTCTGTCTGTGTGTGTCTCCGAGTAAGTTGAGGCAGTGCGTGGGTCTCTGTTTGTGTGTGTCAACCTCTCAAGAGAGCCGGGTGGTTGGGAGACATGACTCAGCTGCAGGGGCGCCAGAGCAGCTGCGAGAGATGACTCAGCCGCGAGAGATGACTCATCCGCGTACTAAAGTTGTACTGCAAAGTCGCCAGTTCTCAGCTTCCAGCTCCACAGATTGCTCCGCGTACTAAAGTTGTACTACAAAGTCGCCAGTTCTCATCTTCC